CAGGCAATAATCTGAACAACAATTGTTTTCAATCTTATCAACAACAAGCCAACGCCAATTGGCAATTGGGCTCCAATTCGCTAACTGCACTTATATCAAAGCCAAATTAAATTCGAGCATAAATATCAAATGAATATTCAATTACAATTGCGCAGAAAATTAAATTCGTTTTATATATGAATAATAATAATATAATCAATAATAATAATATAATGAATAATAACAATATGGCTAACAATAATATAAATAATATGGCCAATATTAATAATAATATTGCAAGTCGTTTGGGTTCAAGAATAGGAACCAATTCCAATACAATGCAACAGTCTAACAACGGCCTATTTGGAAATGGAATGAACCAGGTAAACCGCAACCAACATGGTTGCAGTATTGCTTCGGATTCACTACGTCTGGCAGATCTTATGAATTTGGATGCGAATAGCTGCGTTAATTTAAATGTGGCCGAAGTGGCCAGAAATGCGATGATCTTGTTAAGCACTATTGTTCACAAGCCTATGTTGGATGTGGATGTACAGCAGCAGCTGTCGAATTTGCAGGTAAATGTTTGTTTTATCTAAGAATATACCCAATCAGTTACAATTATTTTGCAGAATAAAAACATTGGGCTCGACAATGAACCAGATGGAGTCGACATGAACATTCGGCCACAAGCCACTGAATTGCGAATGTATCATCGGTTCAAGTAGACACCTCTTGACTGGCCAATACCAATTATTTGTATATTTAAGTAATTTTGAAAATGACCGCATAAGTTTCGTTCCAGGCGAATGTCTACGAATGCGCTCAATGTGAATATTGCGTAGGCGTATGTTTATAAGAAGAAGAACGCGGCAACCGTTGTGAATGTCAATTTGTTGGCACACAAACACATAGCCAAATGACTGAAAGTAAATGTATTTTTTTTTTTGTTTTATTATTATTATTTTTGGCTGATAAGAAAAGGCCGTGCCGCTTATCAGTAATGCACAACAAGAACTAAGCTGTCAGTAAAGAGATGTAAACCGACAGCGAACAAAAATAGAAACAAAACAGCGATAAGTGACGGCGAAACGAAGCGAATATTCATACACGAGAGTTGTGACGACTACGAACAAGCTGGAAWATCAATCAATCAGTAAATCTAATAAAGAGTAGGAAAGTGGACGTAAAATTTAAAAAACGTTCAATGGCTACGGATAACGCGTGTTCATTATGACAAATACTCTTTAGTTTTTATTCTACACATAATAATAACCTCCAATTTGCCAAAATTGTACATTACTCAATGTATGAGAAAAATAAAAGCACAGATAACTGTAAACAAAGAGTGGACCAAAAAGAAATTTGTTTTTTTCAGCGTTAAATGAACTGCAACATATTTTAGTTAAGACTATCAAAGAATTTATGTAGAAAACAAGTTTAAGTTTCATGAAATAAATGCTATTACTTTCAACTACACTCAGCATGTTGAAGTCCAAGCAATTGCTAAAACAATGGGTAAAAGGTAATTGTACTTCGTTTCATTTTTCATTTATAGCGCGCAATTTGACTGTGAAATCTTATTTATTTAATTTGACTGTTTGTTTGTTATTTTTAATGTTTTCTTTGTTCGCATTTATATATACGAATATATATTATATACTTGGCTTTTTTAACTACGCTTCCGTTTATTATCAGCTATAGGCTCTGGAGCATGTGATTGTGAGAAATCATATTTATTAAAAGATTATATACAAAAATCTACTCAATTATTATATTGATTGCTATTCAACTTGAATGTGTAAACACAGCTTTTAGAGAAATAACACTAAAACTGTCAATAACTCTAGTATTTCGAAATTCAAATAGTGCTCAAAAAATTCTGTCAGGCTTAGCAAAATAATAGTAATAATATAATTCATTATTGAACTTAAATGTCTTACGTTTGTCCAGAATGTGCGAGCTTTTCGCCTGCAAATTTTAAACTGAAACGCGCCTTGATTGTGTCTAAGCTGTCACGGTATGAGTTTGAGCAAATGCGTCATCCGGATCTCTCGCGGGAACAGCTGGAGCAAAAGCTACGAGATCGCGGCACCGACGTGGAGAACATGCTCTACTTGCATAACCTGCACAAGGATTTCGAGCGGCGCATCGTACGCAGCTTCAGGAATGTTGGCTGCGAGGTAAAGCTGTCCAGCAGGTGGGTAGATGAGATGTTTTGTGGAACCTCTTACAGTACAGTGCACCTATCAATTTATATATGTATTATATTTATTGATTGTGTGTGGCCTTGTTGTGATTGTGCTTGATGTGTGTTCCATAAATTGATCGATCGTCATTGTCATCCAACTACAAATTTTGTTGATTCCCGCCATCCACATAACGTGTCCCTGTTTGCGGCTGCTGTTTGACTTTATTAAACAAGCAGACTTGAATTTAGAAGCTCTCTGAGCAAGGATGTGATGAGCTGGGCTGATGTTATTGTGCCCGTTGGCGGCGATGGCACCTTTTTGCTATCAGCGAATCGTGCGAGTCCTCTCTTTGCCCTCAGCCAGCAGAAAACACCGATTGTTGGTTTCAATTCCGACCCACAGCACTCGGAAGGACGCCTGCTGCTGCCCAAACACTACTCCGAGAATCCCGAAGAAGCAGTCAATCGCATTAAATGCGTAAGTCTTTACGCCATAAATTTCATCAACTTTTCGCTAATATGGATCTCTTTTATTTGTTATTATAGGGCGACTTTAAGTGGGTGCATCGATCACGCATTCGCACCACCATGCTGGGCAACAATGGCGCCATACCCGAGTCCACGGATCTATTCAGGCACACAGCGGTTAAAATGGAGCAGGTTGATACAGCGCCAGAGGAATTGGATTGGAAAATGGCTGACAAGTATAAAGCTAAAATGAAGCGAATTCTGCCGTACTTGGCGTTAAACGAGGCAATAATGGATTTTAGTTTAGCAAAACAATTCAATTTAGCTAATCCTCTCATGCTTTGTCGTGCAGGTCTTCATTGGAGAACAACTTTCGGCACGCGTGTCGCATTTGCAGCTGGTGCTCAATCACCAGGATGTGGTTAATAAAACAAAATGCTCGGGTCTGTGCGTCAGTACAGGCACAGGGTCCACTTCGTGGCATACGAGCATCAATCGGATTACCAGCAGCGATGTGGAGGATCTGCTCCAATCACTGCCCAATAACTGTGCACCGCATATTCTTCAATTGCGCGCAAATGTTGAGGAAATCGCTCAGCGCTACAATCAGGGACTGCTTTTCCCACCTGATGATCCGCGTCTATGCTACTCCATACGGGAGCAGATCTGTGTGGGCGTTTGGCCATCACCAAAGACATTTAAGGCACGGGACTTTGTGCAGACCGTGTTTATAAAATCGCACTGCATGGATGCCAGTGAGTAACGAGGAGCTAAATCCAAGCTGATTGAAACAACCATTGAATTCGTGTTCCCTTCCCTATTCAGGTCTGGTCATTGATGGCAGTATCTCGTATCCATTTAACGATGGCGCCAAGGTGCTGCTCGAGATTCATCCAGAGGATGCGCTGTTAACCATCGCCCTAGACTGAAAAAATCTGAAGCACTAAACCCAAGTGCCTGCTTCACATATAAATTAAAGGCTGCTACAGCTGCATTTTTTTTAAATACGTCTGAATTGAAATAACGTACATATTTATATGCGGAACTGCTTATTAGTTGTAAGCTCAAAAGTTATTTGTTATTAAACTACACAGATACATATATGTTGATGTATATATACATATAGACATAAGCATTGAATTCACTTTATATTTGATTTTGATATTGATTTCGTTTTTGCTTTGCTTGTGTTTGCTTTATGTAGTTTTTGTGGTGTCTTCGGTTCGGTCGTATCATTTTCTGAGCGTTTCTTAAATTTCTTTTCGAATCGCGCAGTGTCTATAGTATTGAACCGTTCATCATTTAGCACAGCCTTGCCCTCCTCGCTGGCGCTCATTTCCGCCCGTTGCTGCTTACGTTTGCGGCGTATTTCACGCAGCTTTTCCTTTTGTTTCTTGCGATAACTGCAAAGGAATTGAAAGTGAATTAGATATATTTTCTAGTCAATGCTTGGATTACTCACAGTGCTTCCATTTCATCAGGATCCTTGCCCTCCATAATCCACGTTTTTCGTCTGTAGTTTTGGGCACGCTCATCGAAGTCATTATTATCCAGTTGCATTTCCGATTCACGTCTTGTGACATTCACTTGCATGAATATACGTTCCACCATGCGTTCTAAGGGAAATAATTCAGTTTATACAGAAGGTAGTTCAAAAAGATCAGTCAACGTACGATCTATGGGATGCTCTGTTAGCTTGCAATTAATTTCAGCTTCAATGGCACCAAGCAATTCAAGGTCGCGTGGGAATCGAAATATGGATATAGCCATGCCTTTGCGACCAGCCCGCGCCGTCCGTCCCACACGATGAATATACTCCTTGGGCGTACGTGGCAACATATGATTGATCACTAGCTGCACACTGGGTATATCCAATCCACGTGCAGCTACATCTGTAGCAATCAGCGTGCGTATGTGATTCGACTTAAAGCGACTTAGTGCAGCAACTCGTTCCTTTTGTCGCATAAACCCATGTAGGCAGACATTCTCAATTTCCATGCTGGCGAGCGTCATCGAGAGCAATTGGCAATATCTAGTTAAGTACACAACAATTTAACATCTGTAATATCTTGCACATATATTAAACCCACTTCTTTGTATTGGTGAAGATCATGACATTCGCATTTTCATTTTCTTCTCGAAACTTTCGCAGCGCTTCAATGAGCACCATATCACGGTCGTAGTCAGCGCACAGCAAATACCGCTGTTCAAGTGTCTCCACCGTAGCCACGTCCGACTCCTGGGACCATTCCATTAACTACATTATAGAATAATAAAATAGAATAATCGATGTTAAATTGTCGATTTACTTGCTTACATCTTTGGATATTGGAAATATGCTTGACTCCTTCATAAAGTCCTTCATGGTAGCAGAGAAAAATAGATTCTGTCGGGTCTTAGGCAAGCAGCGTTCGATTATGGCCAGACTCTCGTCGAAGTCGCCATTCAGCATGCGATCTGCTTCATCCACGACCAGAAATTTGAGATTATCGAACGAAAACGTGTCACAACCTGTTAGATGATCCGCCAATCGCCCGGGCATTGCCACAACAATGTGCGGTCTCTGCATTAGCTTTTGACTCTCTATCATCTGATCTGTACCGCCGGAAACAACACACACGCGCACTCCCATGGGCTGACCAGCAACGAGAAACTGTTCGGAGATTTGATAGGCCAGTTCATGCGTAGGTGTTAGCACTAGGGCGAAATGACTGACTGGCTCCTCGCTCAGCTTCTCCAAAATCGGCAGAGCAAAGGCAAAGGTCTTGCCTGAGCCTGTTTTAGCTGCACCAATACAATCCTTACCAGCTAAAATTGGTGGTATACAATTCTCTTGAATAGGCGTTACTCCCTTAAGACCTGTTGAATAAAAAATACGATGTTAAGCTCTCTTCATATATTCTATTTATATAATCATGTTGCTTACCTAATTTGGTCAACTGTTTGGCCAGCCATGGGCGCAAGCCGAGTTTTAGAAATGGATTTGGCTCCTTTCGCTGCATATTTATGCTACAATCAAAATCAACAATAAAAGCAACGTGCAGCTGACCAGGGGCACCAAATTATCGTCTTCGATAGCCGATAGGTAATGGATCTATCGATTAATCGATTATGTTGCAATTAACGAATAAAACCAAAACACCGATTATTAGTACACTTTGTTTTCCTCTGATGAAATACGCATTTTCGCAAATTGTATAAATAATGTTTATTCTGATAAAATAGAAGTTGAAGATTTGATATATTAGCTAGACACAATCAAATACCAAGAACAGTCGCAATAAAATGGAAACAGAATCAGAAGCGGAATCAACACAGCCAACCGAAACATTAAACGTTCTGTGTGCAATTTGTAATGAGTTTTACAAAGCGAATGATATCATATTTTCAACAGCCAGTTGCGGTCATGTTTTCCACAAGAACTGCCTTAACCGTTGGCTATCCCGCTCTTTAAGCTGTCCCCAATGCAGGGCCATTTGCCACCGTCAGCGTGTGCATCGGATTTATTTGAATTTTGCCGAAAACACCGAAGTAGAGGAAATAGAACGCTCTCAGATCCAATGGGTGCCCCTTGATTTGGAGGAACCAGTGGCGCCCACCATGCTCGATGGTGCTGTCCAATGCGGCACTGATCATGAGGGCCTCGATACATATGTGGCGCGCGTATATTTGCATGAGGATTTGCTCCCCGCTAATTACGTTCCGCAAAAGAAAGCCGTATACGCTCCCTGGAACTGCAGTGCACATCTGCTGAACTCAGAGGTGGAGCTTTTGGTGCTAACGGACTGTGAACTTAAATGGGTGGCTGCAGCAAATGGTGAAGTGCCACCAGGTGGCCTTAAAACTGGTTACTCGGAACTCGGTGAGCCGCTTTATACTGCACGCTCTGAGTATATGGGACAGACCCTGCTCGGCAAAGTGCATCCATCCCATCGAGTTATATACATGCCCTATCAACGGGACGAGGTTTCCAATAGAAACTACGAGGTACTGGTTGTCACGCCTAAAGAACAGGCCGAGCGTTGATCCCAATTAGTCCAACTTGAACGACTTACTGTCCAATTGGTTTATTGTTATTCAGTTTTACTTTTAATGATCCGCTTTAAAGAATCTTAATATTTAAAAGTTTAAAATAAAAGTCTTGGAAATATATGTATTAAAATTGTTATTGTTAGACTATGTATTTGTATATTAGTACACATAAATATATATGTATATGTGTATATGAACTATTGTTTAAACCTTTGTTATACTTAAAATACGTATATCTGACGAATTTGTGGTCACAGTTATTTACCATGCTTAGCAGCTTTGTTGCTTCATCCAACTCCTCACAATAATGCATTTCGCTTTTTCCAGAATTATTTATAATAATAACTTTCTTTAAAGTCTGCATGTGTTATAACTATGTAATATTTTCTTTAATAAATTTGCATTCTCTGAATCGCAACATTTTGTTATATATGTATATATATTTAGCTAAAATATAACGTGGGTAACGTGCATGTAACATTTAAACAAAATAATTTTCTCATTTTATTCATACAATTATATTAGAAATAGGATTTTTGTTTCATGTTTATGACTTTTGTACTTTTTTTCTAACAAAATTTTTATAAAACATGCTTTTCAGTTTATGTATGTATGTGTATCTTTTTTTTTTTATGTGTGTGTGTGTGTGTGTGTGAGTGTATGCATGTATGTTGGGATTTATTTTTTTTTCGATCCGTCGTCGATAATAATAGATATTTACATTTGTTTATGGATAAGCATATTTTTTTTCCGATTTATTTTATATAAATGTATATATAAATATTCTCTCGATTTACAATTGGTACTTGAGCCTATCTTGATTTGTGTTTACGTTTGATTTAATTTCATATTTGTTGTATTTTTTTTTTATTTGAGGTTTTTTTATTGGAGATTAGATGCAAAATGGCCACGAGTTAGGTTCAAAACATTTGAGCTCAATTTGTAGATTAGAAACAGTCTCTACTATATTGTAAACAACATATTTTTTTAACGGCACTTTTTTTAACTATACAATTGAATAGGTGGACTTAATATCCGATATTTTTTTTTACAAAAATTTTTTTTATTCTAATACATAATGATATTTAAATGAAAAGCAAAATTTTTTTAATTGATTTTTTTTTTGCAGGAAGAGAAGGGAGAGAGAGAATTGGGCAGCTTTTTTTTTTGTTAGAAATTTTTTTTCGTTGCAGACTTTCAATTTTAAAACAAATATTTTACATTTTTTTTCGTGCATTTTTTTTTGCTTGTTTTTGTAATCACTCCATGCATTTGTAGTTTCTGGTGATGCGACGATGACGACCACGCTGCTGTGGCTGTTGAGCTCTTTTGCAGCGTGCTCGTAGTTCTCATTTCTGTGAGGAAAGATAGTTCATATATTGTGTTGTCTGCTGGGCATTGCGCACCAGTTCACTCTTTTTTTTGCCAACATCCCCATGCCAGTTGTCAACATTGGATTGTGGTTTCTGCTGCTGTTGGTGTTGTTGTTGTTGTTGATGTGGATTTGTTTCCTGCGGCTGGTGTATGTTGGGCTGTGAGCGACGTGTAAAATTGCGATGGCGTTGCGGTTGATGCTGATGCTGATTTTGATGTGGATGCTGATGTGGACGTGACGATTGCTGGCGACGATCAAAAGTGCTCGAGGCCTCGCTGGCTAAGCTGCTCTGACTGCTGTATCGCGGAAAATTGCGCGGTGCACCTCCAGCACCACGCGTTGGGCTCTGGCTGTAACGATAGCTCGCGCTTGACTTCCTTCCACCATCGTCCATTTGAGATTTGGGCGGACGTGGCAGCGTCCGTGCACGCGAAGAGCTGCGACTGTTCGACTCTGGTCCATTTGAATTGTAAGCACAATTCTCATCCTGATATGCATTATTAATGGCTGTATTTGAGCGACGCCAAGTTTCACTGTGGATCTTTTGCTGTTGTGGTTGTTGCTGCTGCTGCTGTTGACTTTGCTGTTGCTGCTGCTGCTGCTTCTGGAAACGAGGCGGTTTGTCGTACGTGTTGCGATTGTGATTGTTATAGCGTCCACCGCGTTTGTAGCTATTTCCACGCTCATAATTACTTATGTAGGAACGTTCGCTTCGATCGTCGCGTTGATCCCAATTGGAGTTCACAATATTATTATAATTGCTGCCGCCGCCCAGATTGCGCTCGTATCGTTCCTCCGAATGCTTTCTACGATCATCTATGCTGTACAGGCGCAAATTACCACCGCGACCCTCGCTGCGCACACTCTGATGATCGTCATCGCAGCTGACACTGTAGTGGCGCTGTTGATCGTGACGGGACCGGCCATTCGACTGATCGCCGTCATTGCCACGATTGAAACGTGTCTTGCGCCAGCTTGGTAGCGGCTTTGACTCATCGCGATCCTCGCTGCTGGCCATAGATGCATACTGATCGGAGTTGACATTGCTGCAAGAAAGTCCAAAGTGAAAGATTAGAGCCCCAGGATTCTTTATGGAATACTTACTCTGCATGTGCCGTCTGAGCTTGGGCCTGCTTTAAGGGACGTGGCACATGTCGGGGCTGATAGCCACGTCGGGCTTGGCGGCTGGAACTGGGCAAGCCACATTCATAGGTATTGTCAGCGTTATCGTAAAACTTTTGCTGCTCATCGCCATTGGCCGGTGTCTCGTCATAAACAATGTCACATAGTGAATCTTCACAGACCTGCTCGCTCCATTTCTTGGGCACCTCCTGGGCCGAGGTGTTAGCGCTGCTGCCATTCTCCTCGTCGCTGTAACAGGTGGCCGCACTTTGCCCGCTGAAAGAGTCGGTCTGTGGCTGTATATCGGCTCCATTGCTATTGCTGTTGCTGCTGTTGTTATTGTTGCTGTTGTTGTTGTTATTGTTATTGAAGCCATTATCCTCGTCTTCATCGATGGCCAAATAGTTTGTGTACATGGCTTCCAGCTCTTGGCCGACATTCTTGAAATGGCTATAGAACAAGTCAAGCACCATTAGCAGCATCGCCTTTACTTTGTCTGTCAGCGCTGGCTGCATAATCAGATGTCGCCGGACATGGTATAATAGCTGATCGATTTCTGTCTTGTGGCGGGTGCGCATTATTTCACCATTAAGTGTGATCTGGGAGAGCACTAAGCGGGCTAGGCGCGTGCTCATCACCACGGAAACATCGTTTATTTCGCGCGTTAACAAAGTGAGGAGTGAATCGCCCAGGATTGTGATTGGAGCATTGTTCGCAAGACGAACTCGATTGTAGTACTCGCCCAGCAACGTTATAGAGTTATACAATCGATTCTTATCGTGCTGTCGGTACGCATCGGCATTGATGTAGTTCGTCTCCAGGATCTTAAGCATGGCGCTGCGCACTTTTGTCTCGTTCATAGCAAGGGCGTCGAAGTTACGCGAGGAGAACAATAAAGCAAACTTCAGCGCTGTCTCAGCATCCAATAGGGCTTTGTTATTCATGTACTCCATGGATTCACTGCAATGGCATTTAAAGAGATATGTTATTGTTTTCGCTGTGAACTTGTTGAACTTGGTCATACAGTTGGGAACCGGTTATATCTACATGCTGCAGCCCTGATTATGATAAAGAAAGGGGCTTTATATGGATAACAATTGTGTGTTGACATTGTGCAAAAACAAAAGTTAAAATGGCTTCAATTAAAGTTCAAAATACTGTTACTAGCTGAAAATTGCACTCAATCGAACTAATTACTTATGTAGAATAGGCAAATACAAATATGCTTGATAAACCGATTAACAATAATTTCTTAATTTAATTCAAGGGTATTTAGTCTTCGAGAACATACTTCTTGTTCATCCAATTGGCGGGAAATTTTTTCTTTTCTGATTTCCACTCTCTTGCTCTCAAATCTCTTAGTTCTAAAAATTTTAAGCGAATTGCGACATTGTTTTACAGATAGTTGTAAATATTAATACTGGCTCTCACGTATACAAATGTGTCTGTATCATACATACACGGAAATAAATGTACGTCTACAGAAGCTATACATACTTATTCATATACATACATATATACTTATGTATTAATCATCAATGGACAACGATGCAAATACAGACATACACACACACACACACCAATGAAAACAGCAAACGTACATACCATAGCATCGACTCGTCGCGTACAATGTTGCAGAAATCGGTTTCGATAGCCTTGATTTTGTTGTTAAGGACAATGCCATCGTCCTGCAGGTTAAGTCCGCGCATCATCGTTATAATGTGATCATACACACAACCACCTGTTGGTATCATATAACTGCTCGGAGCGCCTGTGTTGAGCATGTTACAAACTTCGCGAAGCGTTTGCACCTCGTTGCCGCCGCCTCCGCCGCCACCGTTGCTACCACTGCTGTTGCCGCTGTCAGCACTAACACTGTTGTAATTGTTGTAAGTGTAGGCGGTGGTGTTGCTATTGCTGTTACTGTTATGATTGCTAGTAATCATATTTGTATTAGCCATTTCGATGGGATCGCTGGAGCAAACGTTGTTGTTGTTTTTATTACTGTTCTGTTTCTTGCTGCTGCTACTGTTGTTGTGCTTTGCGTTTTCCACTGGTTCTTGTTCTGTCAGCGCCAAGAGAGCCAACTTCTCTATGTATTTGTGTGTGCTGGTCCACCAACAACAATAAACACTTGGAACTTATTATTTTGCGCAAATAAGCGTTGACAAAGGTGTCCAAATGCGCATAAAATTTCACCTTTCATTTACTTTGCGCACCAACATGGAACTTACCCAAGTATCTGTGTTCTTAAGTTGTTAACGTGCAAACTAAATTAAATGCACAAAWTAATTAATTTATATTTTATTTGACTTATTTTTCTACCGAATTAATTTACAACGAATGCGTTTGGTTCGCAGTGACCATTTGCGTGAACCAGGAACTAGTTAACGAATCAAAAATCGTGAATAACAAACCTGTTAACGGGCTGTTATCGTACAATGTTTTTACAGATATGCACGCAATGTTATTTGCCGTTACATTTAAAAATAATTGTGTTCGAACAAGAAGAGCCACCTAATTCAAATAATAATTTTATGCTAATTTACAGGGAAAGCGTGATTTGATATTTTGTTATTCAGACAAAAATTATATATTTTTAATTTGTACTTGATTTTGACATTTTTAACAATGTATTCATTCTATCAGCATTCAATATAGGTATTCTATGTTTAATTGAATGTCATGTAAATGGGTTCAAATGTGTAATCATAGTTTTTGCCCTCGATGAATTCCAGTAAAGGATGTTCACCGATTTTAGAATATATCCAAGGTTTTCTCTATAAATAAATAAATAATAAACAATTAGTATACTAGCTATTCTTACAATAAAAAATACTTACAGTACAAACACAAGTATTTTGGAATAAATTGACCTGTAAAAGCTTTTTACGCTTCTCACCTATTTTAGCTGCGATAAATTGATAGTTATCAAATGTAAAAACACATTGCTCAAAGCTAACAAGCTCGATGTTTGCAATGTTGTGCATAAGATTGTTAAAATATCTCTTTTCTTGAATACAACAGCTTTTAAAAAACAATTGATTTAGATATTCAAAGCAACTGGGCGAAAAGTAGCCCAAGTCTTCCAATAGATAATTATCTGTAACGATTTTTAGTTTATCCACGCGTAGCTTTGATTCAATTACAGTGCACAGCGTGTCAGTGGTGTTGCATGTTTCCAATATTTTGAAATGATGCTTTTCAGTTATAGAGCCCAGCTTGCGGCATAGTACAGGAAGTATGCCCATAAGTCCAGGACCAGAAATGGTCAGCTCGCTAAGGCAATCAAGTGTTTCCAAGTGGTCTTCAAACCACGGCAACTCATCAATTTCCACTTTAATAGACTCGAGATTAGCCAATGAGTCTGCGGGCAGACATATAGGATTCTTTTGGATAGTCATGCGATCAAAAAGACAAAGCTTGATTTCTTTTAATTTACGTACTTTCATAACGTTTGCCAGATTTTCAACGCTGAAGTGCTGGCAATAAGTCAATGTTAGGCGCTCTAATAATGGGAAATCGGTAAAATATCTGCCCGAAAAACTCCCTTGAGGACTAAATTCTTTTAAATTTGGAAACGTCATGATCAATTTTGGTATATCCGAATCGGAAAGCAATCTACTTGGCACAGTTGCAAACCGAAAATCATAAACTTTTGGAAAAATGAACTCAAGGAGCACCATATATTGCTCCGCAGACATCATTCTCAGATGCATCACTTGGACTGTTTTGGAAATGCTTTTAAAGAAATATCGCAAGTCGTCGATGGAAAATTTTGCTTCGAATAAAGACATCTTGACTTTTTTATACTGTGAGATCCAGACAATCGGCATCAAATTGAAGAAGCGTGGATGCAAATTTAACATGATTTGTTGCGAATTAATATCTAAATAGCTCAGTATGCGAATGAGTACATCATCGGTTAAGGATTCCATTTTTTTTTTCTTTTTACTAAAAATGCAGAGGGAAATTGAAAAATTTTACGAAAAATGCTACAATTTATATTTTTACTTTTAGCAATTGCAATTTCCTTCCAATTCTCCTTCAGCAGCCGTTAGGTGACAGTAATAACTGACAGTCAGCTCGGTTTTGCGTTCGCAACCAACTTCACGCGACTGATGCTTGCAATCGACCTATTGGAGACGATAAAATCAAACAGCTGACTAAATGACGGTCTGGCAACGAGCACGGTTTTTCAGGTAATCGCGACACAAATATTTTATAAACATGCAGAAATATGATAAAATGGAGAAGATTGGTGAGGGCACTTACGGCACGGTGTTCAAGGGCCGCAATCGGGATACTATGGAAATCGTGGCACTAAAAAGAGTACGCTTAGATGAAGACGACGAGGGAGTGCCTAGTTCCGCGCTGAGAGAAATATGCTTACTGAAGGTTTGTTTTACAACTATTAACAGAGAGAGATCTGCTCTATGTTTTTGCTATATATTCACGTAACGTCACAATCTCACTTAGGAACTGAAACACAAAAATATTGTTCGACTCTGTGATGTGTTGCACTCCGATAAAAAGTTGACATTGGTATTTGAGCACTGCGATCAGGACCTGAAAAAGTACTTTGACAGTTTGAATGGAGAAATCGATATGGCAGTTTGCCGAAGCTTTATGCTGCAACTGTTGCGCGGCTTAGCCTTCTGTCACAGGTGGGTGCCATGCATATGTATATATCACCAGTTATAATTGCCATTTTACTCAATTTCACTATTTTAGTCACAATGTGCTGCATCGGGATTTGAAACCACAAAATTTGCTCATCAACAAGAACGGAGAATTGAAGCTGGCTGACTTTGGATTGGCACGCGCCTTTGGCATACCTGTGAAATGCTATTCTGCCGAGGTGGTAACGCTGTGGTATCGTCCACCTGATGTGCTTTTCGGTGCCAAACTCTATACGACGAGCATCGATATGTGGTCAGCGGGTTGTATATTAGCTGAATTAGCTGATGCCGGACGTCCGCTATTTCCTGGTTCCGATGTACTTGATCAATTGCTGAAAATATTCCGGGTGCTTGGCACACCAACTGAGGAATCTTGGCCCGGTGTCACGCATCTTTCCGACTATGTTGCGCTTCCATGTAATTTTAGTAATTCAATCGTAATTTATATACATATGTACTATTAAAACTTGATTTTTTAGCTTTTCCACCAATTACATCGTGGAGCCAACTTGTACCAAGACTGAATGCTAAGGGCCGTGATTTACTTCAAAAACTCCTAGTTTGCCGTCCGAATCAGAGAATTAGTGCGGAAGCCGCAATGCAGCACCCGTTTTTCACAGACACCTCCTCGTCGGGTCATTAATGTGGCAATCAAAGTTCACTTGTAGTTCTTACGACTGTTTCAATAATATTTAATATAATATAATATATAAATTGTATGTATATTTTAGGAACGTATCTTTAGTTATACACATTGTTTTTATCCTCAATTCATTACAATTCTATTAACATAGTTTTTACCAAATGCCATCAGTTGTAATATTTTAAATATACATTAAGTAAATGTAAGAACCAAAAAAATTGCAACTGTACCTAGTTCACTTAATATTTATAGAGTAAATCTTCATAAATATACATACTGAAATTATAAACAAACCAAATGTCTACAAATAACCACAGTGCCTCGCTTAAGGGTTAATTCTAATGGGCACTGCGCACTCGCGCTCCATTCATTTTTCTTTTTTTTTTTTTTTTTTTGTTTAGTTGCTTTTTGTGTTCTTGACGGACCGGTCGCGTTTCGCGCTCGTATATCTAAAGTGAAAACCCCGTTGCTATTTATCCATATATGCATTAAAGTGCTTTATTTTGATTGCGATACTCTAAATATTTAATTATCAGGGGTACATTTTATGCGGGGTTTATATTTTAAGTACCCACGGGAATTTGCCGACGATCAAAATCAGCAGGAACAGCAATTCTTACACGATATCGAATATTGAAATAATTTGAGTTTTTAAATATGACTTGGGGCTTTGTTACTTGTGGCCCGAATGAGGCGTTAGTTGTCTCAGGTAAATATTTTGCCAAACAAAAGATAGCAAATTGTTTAAATTTGTAAATAAAATGGGCACAGGGCAGCACCCACCAATGACGTCACTGATTATCGATTTTTATGTACAAGTAAATTGTGACAGACCGAAGCCGTGCGTGCGCACCTAAACGAACGCCGTTACATACATACATATGTGYTTGCATGCATGTGTGTGTGCGCGCGCCTGTGTTTTGTATGTATATAGGGTTGCCGGTGTATTTGTTTTGTTTTGGGCAGATTGTAAACATAAAAGTATAATTATTTCGATTGTTAATTTTAATTTTTCCTAGGATGCTGCTATATGAAGCCTTTGTTGGTGCCTGGCGGCCGGGCCTTTGTGTGGCCATCGATTCAACAAGTACAACGGTAATTAAATTGACCTTCAGGCATAATGACACAATATAACGGTATTTAATTTCTTTTGTAGCATTTCGTTGAACACGATGACTCTGCAGGTGGAAAGCCCATGCGTTTACACCAGCCAAGGTGTACCCATCTCCGTGACAGGGATTGCCCAGGTGAAGGTACAGGGTCAAAACGAGGATATGCTGTTGACTGCCTGCGAGCAGTTTCTAGGCAAATCTGAGGCAGAAATCAATCATATTGCTTTGGTCACACTGGAGGGACATCAACGAGCGATCATGGGCTCCATGACCGTCGAGGAGATCTACAAGGACCGCAAGAAGTTCAGCAAGCAGGTGTTTGAGGTAGCTTCCAGTGATTTGGCCAACATGGGCATCACAGTGGTCTCCTATACCATCAAGGACTTGCGGGACGAAGAGGTGAGCTTTTCCAAAGATTTGGGTGATGGTTGCATTAGATATCACTCTTTGGGCATGCGTTTGAGATATAATATAAATGTAGGACGCGTCTTTCGTTTCAATTTTTGAGTAACCGAAATATACATATTCATTATTTTTGCATGCGTGTACATATCGACTCATGGTTTAACTAACCAGGGCGACTCCAAGGTGCGTATAGAGTTGTTCCTTCTTGTGGAGTCCCTTTAACTACGCATTGGCAACCATTTTTAATACGCATCATTTATATTTCTTTGCAGGGTTATCTGAAATCTTTGGGCATGGCTCGCACTGCTGAGGTAAAGCGCGACGCCCGCATTGGCGAAGCAGAAGCTCGCGCTGAGGCGCACATCAAGGAGGCTATTGCTGAGGAGCAGCGTATGGCTGCCCGTTTCCTTAACGACACCGACATTGCCAAAGCACAGCGCGACTTTGAACTGAAGCGTGCTGCCTACGATCTTGAAGTGCAGACAAAGAAGGCCGAAGCTGATATGGCCTATGAGCTGCAGGCGGCTAAGACCAAGCAGCGCATCAAGGAGGAGCAAATGCAAGTGAAGGTCATTGAGCGCACCCAGGAGATTGCTGTGCAGGAGCAAGAGATTATGCGACGTGAGAAAGAGCTGGATGCCACTGTTCGCTGTCCAGCAGAAGCTGAGAAATATCGTTTGGAAAAACTTGCTGAGGCCAACAAACTCCGGGTTGTAATGGAGGCCGAAGCTGAGGCTGAATCGGTAAGTTTGCTAAATCCCTAAATAGCCTATTAGCATTACGAAACTTTACTTTTTGCTATTATAGATCAAAATACGCGGCGAAGCTGAAGCATTTGCTATTGCAGCTAAGGCTAAAGCAGAGGCAGAGCAAATGGCACAGAAGGCAGATGCTTGGCGTGAATACCGGGAGGCCGCCATGGTGGAAATGTTGCTGGATACGCTGCCAAAGGTGCGATGCGATTTCGACACATTTAACACGGTTTTTAAAATACTTTGCTGTCTTGCTTGCAGGTGGCCGCCGAGGTAGCTGCGCCTTTGTCGCAGGCCAGAAAGATTACCATGGTTTCCAGCGGCCAGGGCGACATAGGAGCCGCCAAGCTGACCGGCGAGGTATTGCAGATTGTCAACAAAGTGCCAGAGCTGGTGAAGAACATAACTGGCGTGGATATTGCCAGGGTACGTTCAAATTCAGAGTTTATCTAAGGGCCGAAACTATCATCAGAGAATACAGCAAAGAAAATACAAAAAGTAAAACAAATGGCAATCAAAAGACTTGGTAGAGAAATGTAGCAACATTATATGAAGTTCTATGATTACATATGTTTTTTCTGCATATATGTACATATATATAGCATATATATCTTTGCTTTTTTTGTTTCTGATTCGATTTCTACATATATGATTTGGCTTTAATTTGATTTATCTCTTTTTATTCTTCGTTTCAGTCTGTGCATGCTGGCTAAATGTCCGATATCGAACAATACTCCACAAATACTACACCAAAAACGAAATACAAATTAAACAATATTTCAAAACCAATTGAAAAAATTATGCAAAACTATTTAAAAGAAAAACGCATTTAATCGTTTCCGTTCTAAAAAATTTTGCATAACAGTGTAATTTTGCACAAAATGTCAAATGACAAGAGCATATTTTGTATTCAATATTAATATAAGAATTATAAATGTATATGTATTTATATATGTCTTTATACAAGCGTTCTACAGAACATGGAATAAACAAATTTCCTTAAATAAACATATTGTTTTCCATTTGAGACCCCTGCGGTCAAAAACCGTTAAATTAGCGTACATCAAAGTGGCAACTTTGTTGGCATAGCCGGGTTGCATTCGTTTAAATATCGATATTTAGTTCTTTTACAAAGTACCAACCCTAATTATCACACAACTCAGCACTTTTCATCTACCAAACTGCCAACTCGTTGGCATCAGTCAAGTTGGCAGCCCATGCGAACATTTAGCTAAATCATTTGTGATTTTTGTACAAAAGTTGTGCTCGATTTTAAAAGGCATATAATAAAAATTTAACGCGCCAATTTGTATATTTAAGTTCTAAAGTTTCATCACAAATCATATACTATGGCTGATTCCAAGGGGTAAGTGTATATGTAACAAAAAACAGCGGCAAACTAATGCCGACTCTTAGCTTCAATTTCGCGCAGTCATTGGCCCTACGAGAAAAAAACCAATGGCCACATAGGGAAATGAAATGGAAACTAAATTGTGAAATTTGAGTATGATATGATAATTCACTTAAGTTGAGGTTGTATTCCGAATAGTTTTAAGTTATGAAGTTAAATGTATTCTAAAAATCCATGATTGCGAAATTAGGCCAAGACGCAGAAATTCGCCATTTGCCGTCGTTGTTGTTGTAGCCCTTTTCCGATTTCTTTGTCGAGGGATATTTGGGGAAATTCGTTGTTTTTCAAACGGTATCCAAGTGTGCCTTGCGATACACAGTCTTAGTTTGTTGTTAACGACAACGTTGCAAGCCGTTTCCTGTATATTGCTTGTTGTTGTTGTCTTTTTTTTTTTTTTTCTTGAAAATCTAATTTGAAATTGAAAAGAGTAAGCGCGGATTAATTATAACAAGAAAAAGAAGAAGGATGTCTAGCGGCAACGATGAAAATAAAGCCGGGGGCAGCTCGAGACGTTCGCCCGTAGACACCGGCGACAACAACAGCAACAAAAATAACATGAACAATTATAATGTAGACAATAGCCAGAACATGGATGTCGATATAAGCGACATGGTGCGCAACTATCGCAGCGAACAGGACGATGAGCTTATAAAAAAAGAGACTTGCGATTTGTCGAAGCCACAGTTCTCCAGCGAAAAACGGTGCGCAACTAGGGCGGGGGTGTCTGCTGCTTGTTTTCTTGTTTTGCATTTCTTTGATAGATTGCTTGATTAAATATTTTTTTATTTTTTGTGTCCCATGCAGTGAAGACCTGGCCACCGCGATTTTGAAGCGCAAAGATCGTCCTAATCGTCTGATCGTTGAGGAGGCGCAAAATGATGATAATTCCGTAGTGTCGCTATCGCAGGTAAGCATTTGAGTCAATCTTGTAGGGCCACGTCAGCATAAACATATCCGCTTGTATTTAGGCGAAAATGGATGAGCTGCAGCTCTTCCGTGGCGACACTGTCATTCTGAAGGGCAAACGCCGTAAGGAGACTGTTTGCATTGTGCTATCGGATGATACCTGCCCGGATGAGAAGATACGCATGAATCGTGTTGTTCGCAACAATCTGTGCGTACATCTGTCGGATGTGGTGTCCGTTCAATCCTGTCCGGACGTCAAGTATGGCAAACGCGTACGCATTTTGCCCATTGATGATACTACTGAGGGTGTTACTGGCAATCTCTTTGAGATCTATTTGAAGCCCTATTTCCTGGAGGCCTATCGTCCCATTCATATGGGTGATAATTTCATTGTGCGCGCCGCCATGCGGCCTATCGAGTTCAAAGTGGTGCTTACCGATCCGGAACCCTATTGCATTGTGGCACCCGAAACGGTCATCTTCTGCGATGGCGAACCCATCAAGCGTGAGGTAAGCGCATCGTTAGATAGCAGCACAGTGGGCGGCTAGATCTGCTAGATCTTTCAAAACCTCTGTATTTTTCCTTTATCACAATCGATTCTGACATTTGAATTCCTTGTGCCCGCTGTGCTGCGCTTAAGTTTCTATATATATATTCCATATCTCAACGCCTATAATTTTACTTCAGGAGGAGGAAGAGTCTTTGAATGCTGTGGGCTATGATGACATTGGTGGTTGTCGCAAGCAACTTGCTCAAATCAAGGAGATGGTTGAGTTGCCTTTGCGGCATCCGTCGCTGTTTAAGGCAATTGGTGTGAAGCCGCCCCGTGGTATTCTCATGTACGGTCCACCTGGTACTGGTAAGACGTTGATTGCACGCGCTGTTGCCAATGAGACTGGCGCGTTCTTCTTTTTGATCAACGGACCGGAGATCATGTCTAAGCTGGCCGGTGAATCCGAGTCGAATCTGCGTAAGGCATTCGAGGAGGCCGAAAAGAATTCGCCAGCTATCATATTCATTGATGAAATCGACGCAATTGCGCCCAAGCGTGACAAGACCCACGGCGAGGTGGAGCGTCGTATTGTGTCGCAGCTGTTGACGCTGATGGATGGCATGAAAAAGAGCTCCCATTTGATTGTCATGGCGGCTACCAATCGCCCCAATTCCATTGATCCAGCGCTGCGTCGCTTTGGTCGTTTCGATCGTGAGATCGATATTGGCATTCCCGATGCCACCGGTCGCCTAGAGGTGTTGCGGATACATACCAAGAACATGAAGTTGCACGAGGATGTTGACCTCGAGCAAATTGCCGCCGAGACTCATGGTCATGTGGGTGCCGATTTGGCTTCGCTTTGCTCTGAGGCAGCTCTTCAACAAATCCGTGAGAAGATGGATCTGATTGATCTGGAGGATGATAAGATTGATGCCGAAGTGCTGGCTTCGCTGGCTGTGACCATGGAGAACTTCCGGTATGCGATGACCAAGTCCAGCCCATCGGCGTTGCGTGAAACGGTTGTGGAGGTGCCCAACACCACCTGGACGGATATTGGCGGCTTGGAGAATGTGAAGAAAGAGCTCCAGGAGCTCGTTCAGTATCCAGTCGAGCATCCCGACAAGTTCCTTAAGTTTGGCATGCAGCCCAGCCGTGGCGTTCTCTTCTACGGACCACCTGGCTGTGGTAAGACTCTTCTGGCCAAGGCCATTGCTAACGAGTGCCAGGCGAACTTTATTTCTGTCAAGGGACCCGAATTGTTGACTATGTGGTTCGGTGAATCTGAGGCCAATGTGCGCGACATTTTCGACAAGGCTCGCTCTGCTGCACCATGTGTGCTTTTCTTCGATGAGTTGGACTCGATTGCCAAGGCACGTGGTGGTAATGTCGGCGATGCTGGCGGTGCTGCCGATCGTGTGATCAATCAGATTCTAACCGAAATGGACGGCATGGGAGCCAAGAAGAATGTGTTCATTATTGGTGCCACCAATCGGCCAGACATTATCGATCCGGCTATCTTGCGTCCGGGTCGCTTGGATCAATTGATTTATATTCCATTGCCCGACGACAAGTCTCGCGAGGCTATATTGAAGGCCAATTTGCGCAAATCGCCGTTGGCTAAAGAAGTGGACTTGACGTATATTGCCAAGGTAACACAGGGCTTCTCGGGCGCCGATTTGACCGAGATTTGCCAGCGTGCTTGCAAGCTGGCCATTCGCCAGGCTATTGAGGCTGAGATACGCCGCGAAAAGGATCGTGCCGAGAACCAGAACTCTGCAATGGATGTGAGTTGAAGTCAAAGAAATAATTGCAAATATTTGTATTTATAATTGTAATTTCACAGATGGACGAGGATGATCCAGTGCCGGAGATAACACGTGCTCATTTTGAGGAGGCAATGAAGTTTGCCCGTCGCTCCGTTTCGGACAATGACATACGCAAATATGAGATGTTTGCTCAGACTTTACAACAGTCGCGCGGCTTTGGCCAGAACTTCAGGTAACATGCCACTAATTACCTCATCTTATTGGTTATTTAATATCGCTTCATTTTGGTTATTTGCAGATTCCCCGGTAACGCCGGCAACACCTCAGGGTCTGGCACCAATATGCCAGTTAACTCGCCGGGCGACAATGGCGATGATGATCTTTACAGTTAGATTATTAGTTTTAATCAAGACAACAAGAAACACAATTTTTTAAATGAATTTTTCCTCCTACAAATGAACAACAAAAAACGAAACTAACAAAAACCAAGCAAAAAACCAATTTTAAATCAACATTCGGCTCCTGGAGGCAGAAGAGGCCAGCAGCAGCATCTGCATAAGCATCACCATCAGCAATAGCAACACTAATAACAAGAGGAGTACATGCATAAGACAGCAACAACATCCATAGCAACAGTAACAACTACAACTACAAAAGAATCAGCATATAATGATAAAAACTTGAAAATCTTGATACCATTTACTGGTATCAGATTGAATTTTTTGTAATTGGCGCATAAATCCATGAAAAGATTAGCCTCACTTATCATTCGTGCACTGTCGGTGTTAGCTGAGCGACCGATATCGAAGTTCTATATACATTATAATGATAATAAACAATACACATATACACATACATATAATGATAAATACATACATATATTAAACATCGTAAAATTATAAGTGTATTTGGAGCTACGTTTTTAAGTGAATAAAAATTATAAAGTCGGAGCATTTACCATTTGCTAAAATATGGGGGCAGAAAAAAAAAACGCGTTTCCAATTGGAAATTTCCTTCTCAATAAGAGTAACAGTATTTAGGAAAAAAAAAGATAAATAATCTGTGTAGAAAGAAGTCTGGGTCTCTATTTTAGATGCACTTTAAAAAAAAGCAGGTTGCCTGTACTTTAGAATTGTGATTTACGGTAAATTTGATGTCAAATAAAAAAAATTGTCGAATATCTTGGGAGAGTTTATAAATGGAATTGACTTATAAAAACTGTCAATGAATGGTTGACTGCTAAATCCCCTGTAAAAGAAATACTAACGCTATGCTAGCTACTAAAAAAAACATATTAAATTTGATGTAAATTAGGAATAAAGTTGTATTAGTTTTATATATGAAAAAAAATACAGGAATACCGTGTAATCTATTTCTGTGCATGTTGCTGCCTTTCTCCCTTCAAAAAAAAACAAAAAATTAAAAAAAAAACTCGAATTTTGTGTTTTATCGCTTTATTAAACTTGTATTCATTTCGTCATGATTTGCCTCTGCACACACGGTTGTTTTGTGGCACATAACGTGATATCTGAGGAATAGTTTCACAATCCTATAACTTAGTATGCTATATACGATATATCCATGCCAATTGTTGCTGCTCTTAAATGACACAAAAATTCAAATTTTGGCGTTTGGTTGAATTAAAAGCAAACAAATTCATATTCTTCATTTGGGTTTTCTCTCGATTTTTTTTTTTGTTTCTAGTTTTTTGTTTGTTTGCAGCTTCTGTGTGGCGCTTCAATTGATTAAATTTAATTTATAAACGCCTATTGCAAATTTCCAATCAAATTTTCATATGCATTTTTCTCTTTTTGTTTCTTCTAAATTTGTTTGTTTTTCTTCTTTTTTTTTTTTTTGGTTTTGCTTTTATGTTGGTTTTTGCAGTGTCTACACTTTAAATATGCTCATTAAATACATACATACATATTGTTTTTTTTTGTTTGATTTTTTTTTTCTCTTTTTGTTACACATACATAATTAAATACGCTTTATGCAATAATTACAACACAACAATTAAAATACAAATAGTTTTTAATTATTTATTTTTAATTTTATTTTAGCGCGTTCTGTGAAAATTCTTTGAGCTTTGCTTAACGTTTTGTTGTGTGAGTGTGTGTAAGTGTGCGTGTGTGTGCGTATTTGTGTTTATGCGTGTTATGTTGTCTATATGGAAGAAAATGTCCAGCATTTTCAGCTTTTCTTATATAATTAGTTTCTATTTTGTGTTTTTGCTTTTGCTTTTCTTCTTTGATATAATTATTAAATATGCTTTTGTTTTCAAGAATTTGTTGCTTTTAAAGTCTTGAACGTAGACTAGACACCAATTATGTAGGATTAAACATATTTTTTGTTGCTTTTCTTTTTGCTTTCCTTTCATTCTTTATTTTTATTTATTTTTTGTTTCTGTTTTATTTTTATGTCACATTTAACAAGTTTTTATTTTTTGCATTTTAAATTTATGATATTTGCATTCATATATTTTTAGGTTTTCTTTAGATATTTATGGTTTTTATTTGTGAACACCTTGTCGACTGTTGGTATGCCAGTTAAATTGTTTATAATATGCTTTTACATAACTACAAAGTACATTAGTAATTTGTTATTTGATTAACGGTCTAGGATTTGTTTTAGTTACGCATTTTATAAACAATAAATAAAGTAAACATTATAAAGTACTGGAGTTTTGGGTCTACCAAATATATATATATATATATGGTATATATATTAAGCTCATTCGGTGTATAGATATACATATATATACATATACATGTGTATTTTTGTGGTTAGAGTAGAGTTTAGAATAGGGTAGGGTTTGTGTATTTGGGATAGTTAACAAATTAATAATAGAAAATAAAAATAAAAACTCTACTAAGTACACATCTAGGCCTTGTTTTTTTTATATTGCTTTGCTTCGCTCTATCTACGATACTCTATAAGGAGTACACTCCTGTCTAGCCCAACAAAAGAAAAGAAAAGATTTATTTATAAATGTGCTGAGCAGATCTGCAAAATATGTACTTATGCTCCGCTAGATATATATCATATATATGTATGCATATATATCGAATTTTTATTTTCTTTCTAAGTTTTGATCCCATGCAACATAGATTGATTGTGCCTTTAGCCTTTTGTAGAGCCAATTGAAATTGAGAAATGATTTGTAGATAATTTGGAAATTCTTTTTGCTCATATTGAGATCGTATTTCGATTCGCTATACCTTTTCAGAGCTTTCAATTCTTAGGTGGAAGACCAAAAACAAAGCTTCGTTAATCTTTTCTTTTTTTTTTACATTTTTGTAGTAAAGAATTTTGGGGATTACGATTTTCGCGTGTCTCAATTATATATATGTATATATATATATAGACTAGTACAATGATTCCCTTCTTTCTTTTTGTTTTACTTTATTTTTTAAATAAATTAGATGTGTCTGGGGTTCTTTGTTTTGTTACTTTATGTATATATATATATGTATAAGTATTTTAATTTGTATTTTGTAGATATAAACTTTTTTGCATGATGTGTTTCCTTTGATATATATATATATGTAAGTTGCAAAGTTTTATGATTTTCTATGAACTTATTTAAAAAAAAAGGACTTTGCATAGTTTTCTTTTTGTTTTTCTTCTGCTATATATTGTGCTAAATTATGCGTAAATCAAGCAATAACAAATTAGTATAATAATAATAATAATAATAATAATAGTTTAAAATTAAGAAAAAACAAGACTATTAACTATGCACTCTTAACACGTCCTTAATTTGAGCTAAGGACACACAAAGTAGGCAAAAATTTCCTTTCGATTTTAGTTGTTTTGTTTTATCCAATTAAATACATTAAATTACAATTGCTAATACATACATACAATAGTTGTGTGTGTGTGTGTGTGTGTTTGTGTTTTTTTTTGCTCAACTCATTATGATTATCATTATCATTAGCGTATTATCATTATCATTGTTTTTCGTATTTCATTAACCAGCCTCAGCTTAAATTATAATTAAATCAATTTAAATCCTTTTTCTTTAACTTTTATATTTATATATAGGGTCCAATGTGTGTGTGTGAGTGTGTGTGTTTGGTTTGCGCTTGTATTGGTAATTGATTTTGTTGTAGTTGTTGCTGTTGTGTGCATGCCTTCGTTTAGTTTTGTGCAGAGTCCTTTTAAAAAAACCCATTAGCCTGGTAGCTGTTGTTGTTATTGTTGTTGTTTCAGACTTTTTATCGTGTATCGGTGATATTATTTTTGCTGCCAAATATTTTAACCAGCTGCGATTCATAGTCATCAATGTTGCGCTTCATAATATCCATGCAGGGACCGAGCAGACGCTCAAATGCTCTCACATCGAGGACTGTTTGAAGAAAATCGAATATAAATAAGTAAATATTATTAATACATACGCAATGTTCGATAGACAGAAGATTCACACAAATAAATAAAACATGCTTTCTTTCCTTTTTTTGTATTATTATAAATTAATAAATTATATTAGTATACGAGACAGAAAATTATGCCGGCATGCCCCGAGATCAAAGACCGCAGTTGACCCACAGGAATTCACACTGCCCTCTATATGTATGTGCATACCCAACCACAGGCGCCTCAACTCTTAAATATTATATAGAGCTGCGCTTACCAATCACAATTGAAATCTTTTATTTATATATGCATATATATGTATATATTTGTATGCGGGAATATACTTTTGCTTGTCTGTGTCGGCAGCAGACTTTTTAGGCTGTGGGGTAGGCAAACGTTGCGTATACTTCATGTTTTGTATGCCTTTTTCTCGCTATGTGTGTGCGTGTGTGTACGAGGGTGTGTGTGGGTGTGTGTGTGTGCGCAACAAAAATAAAATAATACCAATCAACTGCATATAAATTGAAATTTGCTCGGAAACTGTAAAATTTTTAATGACAGCTCGTCCACACTCGTCTTTTCATTTCTTTCGTTACACAAGAAATTTTCTTTTTTTTCGGGCTTACGAACCTACAAACATAGTTATAATATTAATATTATTTAAAACAAAAACAAAGAAGCAAAATGACTGAGCTTGTGCGGCATATTTCACAGATTTGTATTGCGGCGCGCCATTTCGGTGAACATCTGTTCGTACATCAGAATATTGCGCTTGAGCACGTCGGTGAGGAAGCCCAGGATACGCTCAAAGGCATCTGTGTCCAGGACTGGGACGGAATGGAGTTATAATTAAAACCTAAGCATAAGCTACGATATAACAACAAGGGAGAAGGGGGGTGAGTCAAACAGGTGCAACACGTTTTTGTGTGTGTGTCCTAAAAGGGATTCTATAAAATGCTCTTGCTTTTAGTGTGAAGTAAGGCAAGATTCTTCTAGGTGATGCTTAGGAAGTGTAAAAGGATTTTACCTTAAGTTTATTTCTGATTCAATTTCGATTCTTCTTAGTACTTAAACCTGTGTGCCTTTATTTATCGTTCGTTTATCGTTCCTCTGTTATTTCATAGCTCCCGTCCGGCTATATATTTCTTCTCTAACTTTCTCCTTTAGCTCTTGTGTCTAGTTCAGCTCTCTAACTTTCCCGGCTCTCTATACCTTCTCTAGCTATCTTTGCCTCTCTATGTATTTCTCTCTCTTTTGCTCCTTTTCTCTCTTTCTTAGACTCGCACTGTCTTCTTTTTTCACTTTTCCTTACTGCAGCTTCCTCATTAACCTCATTCAATTTTGTTATCTAACTTATCGCCTCTCTATGCGATTTTCACATATGCATTAAGGCTTACAACTAGATTTAACAGTGTTCTTATATACATGTAATATATATATGTATATGTATATGTATATGTGTATAGTATTAAGTAATTTAACAAAAGTGCGAGTGCTAAACAAGTGTGTGCACACACAGGTATTGCATGGCATGTTTTGGTATACATCACCCCTCTTCCCCTCTTGGTAGCAACTGGATAATAACTAATGCCCAATTAGATGGACTGCAGGCTGTCAAAGTAGGCGCGCAGATCGAGCTCCAGATAGCGATAGTCGCATATGCCGCGCTGCAGTAGGTTAATGCAGCGTCCCAGCAGTCGCTCAAAGCAAACAACATCCAAAACTACACACACAGAATTACACACACATTACGCACAACACGACAGAACACAAAACATAACATAAAACACAACACAAGTGCACAAATGAGCGCCAGGATAAGTGCATAAACAAATAAACGGAAAATAAAAACAAAAATAAGAAGCATTAAATAGCTGGCTGGAAGCGAGGCGCTAAATGGATTGCCCGTTAGGCTATAGGCGGGACTTACATGCGAGCTTTACAGTGCCGCCCGTGGCGTAAACGGAAGCAGCCCTTGGCCGATGTGTCACCAGGGCCAGTTCACCAAAGTATTGACCCTTGCCCAGCTGGGATATCTCGATTTCGGAATCATCCTGATCCATGCGCACCGATACAGTGCCCTCCTCGATGAAGTACATGCCATCAGCAGCATCACCTGAGCAATATAGTAATCAAACAATTAATTAGTCATCAATGAACTACGAGTAATCGATCATTGAATATTATTTAATCTAAAAGTTAGTTTTTTTGTCATTAAGAATTATCTTTTAGTTATTACTCTCAGATTGTAGTAAGAAATCAAAATTTAGTAGTTAATGGTTTGTGGTTTGTAATTAGTAGTTAGTAGTTAGCATATTGAATTTATTACTTTGTTAATTTTTTGTGTAGTATTTATTAGATATTGGTCATTAGTTAGTAGTAAGTAATAAGTACTAAATAGTTAGCACTTATCACTTATTAATTATTAGTTGATAATTATTAATAATTAGTTAGTTATTAATTATTATCATTAATCGACAACTTTAATCTTTTTTTCAGAAATCGTGACTCAATCAGCCAGATTCTATCTTACCCTGCTTGATGATACGTTCGCCATCCTCGTAGGTCTTGGTGACCAGAGCATCGGCCAGATTCATACGCTCGTAGTTCTAAAACGATAAAAGGAAAGTGTACGTTTAGTATTTTCTATATTATCACATTTTAATATACTATTTCTCTTTGATCTATTCTCACCTGCAGCGCCTTTAACATGGGCACACTGTTTAGCAGCTCCTCGTACATTTTTCGCTTCTTGAACGCCGACTTGAGCAATATGCGCCGGAATGTCTGACGATCCATGGCCCAGAGTAGCCCAACTGTTTCAGCCTGTACGGTAGCCGCTCTATAAAAATTATTAGTTTGAAAACATTAAATTAAGTATTCTAAATTTTTAATTATCTTATCTATGTTACAATTGAAGTAGATATATGAAAAAGCTTTAAACTACAAGGCGCCCAGAATAAGTAGAGCGAGTAGAGCAAAATGTCAGTGGCCGTCTCTAGGCCGACTAATGTGCCATTTAAACTTGCTAAAAATACCACTCGAATCCTTTGTTTAACATTTCGAATGTGCTTAACATTGGCTCAACTGTTATTTAACATTGCCTGGCTTCAAAGAATATATTGTTGCATAGCTACAAGGAGCAACAGCCGCGAACAAACCGTTTTTATACGAGATTTACTAATTCAATATCTCCAGAATATGGAGGTCTGATGAAATTTCTATGTGAAGTGCTCAAAACATTCTAAATGTATTGCTCGTTAAAATAAACTTGTTATGATTGAAAATTTCCATAAATTCACCATACAAAATTATTTAACCCTTAAATTAAATTATGGGGCATTCACGCTATGAAAATTGCCAAGTGTCAAATTGAGATGGAAATGTTGCAAAATTAGCACATTTCATGCGTAGACATTGGCTGTCAACATTTTGAATGCAGATAAGTCAAGTCTACATTAGCAGATACAAATAGACGAGTGTTTATCCAACAGATACAAGATACTTAATAATATATATGTTTACCTGGGCATATTGTAGAGCAGCGCTAATTCACCAAATAGTCCGGTGTGGGTATAGGTGCTAATGTGTTTATCATTTATATAGACCTTATAGATGCCACTGTAAAATGGAGGGAGAGAGAATCGATTAGTAAGAGAGAGAGAGAGAGATTGAGAGTAAATTGCATGAATATTACAAATGCAAATTAATTGCGCACACGCCGTCTGCGGTTCACAAATGAATGCTGCCTACTTATTGGAGCGTGCTCACAGACGATGTTAGCGCAATTTGTTGGCATTTTATTTCTCGTTGGCTGTACTCACGATTCAATAACATAAAAATTATCGCCATCATCACCCTGGCGTATGATGAAATCGCCCGGCTGCACCTTTCGCTCGAACATCGCATCCAGCACTTGATTCATCTGCAACAAGCAGAGAAAATAGCCAAAAGGCATTAAGGGGATGCTAGACAAAGACAGAGAGAGGAAATAAGGGGATGGAGGACAACACAAATAGCACACACACTTCCTTACACCTACTCAGCTAACCCGCATACAACGTGATTCGGTTTTGCGGTAGCAACTCTTTGGCTTTTGTGTTCTGGTCGTGTTTTGTGTGCGTGTGTGTGTGTGTGTGTGTGTGTGTGTGTGTGTGTGTGTGTGTGTGTGTGTGTGTGTGTGTGGAATTGGTACCGAAAATATGCGAGAGATTTATGAGTCTTAGATGGAGAAGCAAGGAAACTGAGGACGGGCAAGAGATTGAAAGGATGTGTAAGCACCTGTTCCTTCTCGAGCGAACGGAAGAGCAGCACATTCTTCACTGACTCGATGAGACGCGCGCGCTGTTCATCTGTCTTGGGGAATAYGGCAGTTGCGCCATCATCATCATCATCCGCCTCCGGATCGTAAGCCTCGGCGAACACTGATTTGCGACGTGTGCTTTGTACTGCTGGTGGTTCCGCTGCAATTGGAAGCAAACATAGAAATTAGCATAATTTCGTAATTTAAATGGGAAATGTCCTTAATCTTTGTGTGAGTGTCGCAAGTAAAAGAGAAACGTATAACATTTCTTTAGAATATATGCAAATTATTTATAATTTTTGAAATTCCCTATTAACACTTTGAATTATGGCGTCTAGTGGTAAAACTATCGAACTTTAGATATGTGAGTTTTGAAAAACTAGGAACTAGTTATTGATACTATCGATAAGCCGTTTCATCATTTTCCACTTCTGAGGAATAAATAAAATTGCACAAAATATATGTTTAACTATAATCATATATCTTAAATGTCGATCTATGTATAATTTAATGAAGCATAATTTATAAATCTGAAAGCCGATAAGTAATTTATTGAAATAATCGATAGCCTGTTATTGATTTTACAGCACTAAAAAATCAGCTGGTGCCAATAAGAATCTTTGTAGTTTAAACTGGAAGTGAATAATTCCAGTTCCAATGGGATGAATTTCTGTAGGTTCCACATTTTGCTTAACCAATTACATTAATGCCCAAAAACTTTTAAGCCTCGTGCACTTTCAAACCAACCTGAATTTCAAACAATTAACCATGCGCCTGATCAACTTTCTAATCATCATTCGACGCTCTCTTTCAAACTGGGGAATAGTCAAAGCGACAACGTTTTTGTGGAATGGTGTGAAATTAATGAAAACTGTTTAGTTCATTTAGCTAGCCTGGCTGGGCGCTTCAGTTGCTATGTCGCTATTGAGTACAATGTCCTGTGTCCCAGTTTGGCTTTCATGTTTGTGCTCATTAACTAAAGTACACACAGGATGTACCACTCAGCTGTGGGAGGAGGCGTGCTTCACATTTTGGCTTCACAGCGAACATTAATTATATTAAATAGCTAATAGAGACACACGCAGAGAGAGAAAGAAAGAAGACTAGCAGAGTGCGCGGTGGGTAAGGTAGAACGCAGAGAGAGAGAAGAGAGGGAAATGAAACAGACAACCCCCTGTTGATGCCGGATGCGCTTCAGCTCATGTCAACGTCATAGGCATCATCATCATCATTGTCATCATTGTCATAGTCATTGAATCAGCCGGGGTATGTGGTGTCTATCGAATGCATATAAAGTTTTGCGTCAGCACTTTTTTCTTTTTGTTTCTATCAGTCTCAGCAAATCGAATATTTTGTGGGACATGAGATGCAGATGGAATTGTACACAGGAGAGGCAGAGAGAGAGAGAGGGACATGAGATGCAGATGGAATTGTACACAGGAGAGGCAGAGAGAGAGAGAGGAGAGAGAGAGAGTGTGATATCTATCGACAGTGTGATATCTAATTCGGTTGAGGCTATCCAGCAGCCCACACAGCCACTAAAATACACAGCAGTCGGCAAAGTGCAGCTGCAGATACAAAATGTATCTAAGTATCTATGTCTGTATGTATCTTTCTATCTGCTTGCATTATAATTGCGTCTAGTTAGCAGTTTTACAGCTTTGTGTCTCTCGTCTGGCTCGTATATAGGCTACTCTGGCACTTCTTAAGCTTTTGATGATATATCAACAACAACAACAACAACAACAACAACAACGAGCGCAACTCGCTTGACTGCATGCACAAACAGTAAAAAGTAAAATGCTTGCAATTCATCATCAGAAAACGAGACAAAGCAAACAAAGTTGAACGGATGCTCAGATGAACAACTGAACAGATGGTTTTAAGAGAGCAAAACCCACTAAACCAATTGCACCAATTATTCATTTTTGCCAGCAAATTTTTTTTCCATATGCACTCTGGAGGGAGATGGGCAAAGAGAGGGAGAGAGGGCAAAAGATTTTTTTTTATTATTACATATGCTATGACTGATATAACTTTGCGCATTGATCAGGTTGTTGTTGCAGTTGTAGTTGTTGCTGTCTGGATATTAATAATATTTATTACTTTCCGCATTTCATTTTTTTTATTTCTAACTATGTATATTTTATTTTATTTTTGCATATAATTTATAAACTAATTTTTTTTTTAGCTTTTAGTAAGCTCTTAGCTGCTATGATTTGCGGCTCAGCTTACATAGTTTTTTTTTAGAATTAGATATAATCTATATTGAACTCAACTGGCATTTATTTGTCCATAATTTTTTTTTGATTTGATCATCAATCATTTTAATAAGCGACTTGTTGATTAGTCCACTTATCTAAAGAGACGACCGTAATATAATATCTGTATATTACTATTAGGGTTTGATTAGGGTTTGATTTTTTTTTTCTGTACTTGGCTGAATGGTTGAGTATATGAATAATTCAGCGAAGCTTATCTTTTTTTTGAGAAATTCAAGTATGACAGGTATTTGCCCTGTAGAAATTTTCAGATATTTTTACCTGTGAATAGAGTTCATCTTTTTCTCTGTCTGTTAGCTGAGTAAGGCTTTATAAAAATAACACTAAATCTACTTTGTATTACAAATATCACCATCTAGCTCTATTTGCCCTATGGTATAGCACTTGATCCCTGCACTGTCCTCCTATAGACCTGCTTAAAATGTAGCATTTGCTTTGGGTTTCAATTTTTACGTAATTCACGGAGTATTTTTTGTTTTTATTTTATTTTTTTGCAGCTGTTCATCATCTTAGCCATTTTCGTAGATCTCATAGACAACAAACACATGTCCAAGTTTCATATGTGGAGCTATAATTTTTATTGGCGACGTGTCTGACCAAAATGTGTTTTTTGCACTCGCATTTGGCAGGTTGTTTTTTTATGTTTTTCGTATTTGTTTTCTCGGTGTTTTTCTTTTAGCTTACCCGCCAATAGATTACTGGACACTTGCGTCGACATGTTGCGCTGCACTCAATAGATCAATACAAAATTTCTATATGGCTTTTCAGTGCGTTTCAGTTACAAAAAATTCGCAGCCTCGCAAATATCGCTGGAGAAACGAAAAAAAAAAAAAAAAGAAAAACCAGTTGTGCGTTGAACACGTTTGCTAGAAAACTGCAGCTGAAAACTCAAGGTGAAAACGCGAATGCACAC